AGGGCCAACAGCCCCACGAGAGAACGCCCGGGAGAACCCCTCTTCCTCCCCGCCCTCCGCCGCCATCCGCACTCGGGCGGCGCGCGCGGCCCCCCACACACCCGGGGGGGGGGGGGCGGTGAGCGACCGAGCTCTCCGGCCTCGCGAGGAGACGCACGGCCGCGGAACTGCCAGAGGGAGCGCCGCGCGGGGAACGGAGGCGCCCTCCTGCCCCAGCAGAGCCCAGGAGGCTCCCAAGAGGGCCCCAAAGAAGGGCTCCAGAGCTTCGGCGTCGTCGTCGCCGATGTCCCCCCGCAAGGTCGGCGGCAACCGCCACATGGCCTTCCCGAGAAGGGACGAGCGGGCCTCGCCCAGCGACGGCAAGTCTCGGCTGTGATCGGGTTCCTCGACCTAGACTTACGTCGGGCACGTCCCACTACAGGAGGGAGAGTCAAAAAATAAGATGCGGACGATGCTTCTACTCATTTTCACTATGTTTGAGCATTCTCCTATGCATTTTGCACTTTTTCCCAAATCCGCCCGTAGGAGGACAGCACGACCTACACCTAAACCTAAGGCACGTTCGGAACACCCAAGCCACTCCCGAGCCCAGAGTGGTCCTTCTGGCAGCGCCCTGACAGCCCACGACGCGGGCGCGGAGGCACGAGCTGGCCCGACGGAGTCGCGGGAACAGATCATGGGGCCCCGTACGAGATCAGGAGGCAGCTTCCAAGTCCACGTCGGAAGGACTCGTCAGAATTTGGCACCTTTTGGGGGGGCTGCCATGCCGGACTCGGCCGCGGATGCGGCGGGAACAGGCCGGAGTAGACGGGATTCCTTGGGAGCCTCCAGACCAGGCTGGCCATCGCTCGGACGTCCATTCCGTGTGTTTTTCGGTTTCGTGCGTGGCTTTTTCGCCAGATGATCAAGGATGCTCCTCGATGGCCGTCGCCTAAGGAAAAATGCACACGTCCGAGAGATGCCAAGCAGGTGGTGAGATCCCAGGTGGTGACCTGGAATCCCCCAAACAGGCCCCGAGGGGTTTTGGGACGCGGGGTCACCGCAGGGCCCTGTGACTCCTGGAGCCACCAGCGCCCAGAACATCCTCGAAAAACCACACGAGTCCCCAAACCAGGTGGCCACACCTGGCCATCGCTCGGACGTCCATTCCCTGTGTCGTTTTCGGTTCCGTGCGTGGCTTTCTCGCCAAATGATCAAGGATGCTCCTCGATGGTCCTCGCCGAAAGAAAAATGCACAAGTCCGAGCGATGCCAAGACACCAAATCGCCCAAGACTCACCGCCGGGTGCTGTCACCACCACGTCTTGCCAAGGATGCTGCCGCGTCTGGCAACCATGATTGGTTTCGGATGTTCCGCCCGGGCTGACGCCGCCGAGAGAATTCTTGCATCGTGTTTTTTTGTTTGATTCCTGGAAGGTTTGTCGTCGAGAAACCATGCTTGGGAACTACCACTTGAGCGCGCTCAAGCGGCATCAGGTCGGACCCTGGGTCAGGACAGTGCCAGAAAATCGACCTCCTCCAAGGAAGGGCGCCCGAACCGACAAACGTGTGGCGTGCTCCCCCGAAAAAAAGGACACCACACCCGTCGGAGTGCAGGACGCGACCGTCGGAGGTCAGGTCGGGCATGTCCTCCGGCAGGCGGCTTTTGGAAGGAGAATGAAGCACACTCAGGCACATATTCGACGAGCAGTCCGACGAGCACGAGGCATCGTCCCCAGACTGCCGCTGGACTATTCTCGGACACTCCTCCTGTAGATGGGCGGCGAGCGGTAAGATGAAGCCGGGATCGGGGCAAAATTTGACCGGGACAGAAATCAAGCTCGGTTTTTCAAATCACCGGGGGCGCCCACGAACGGGCCTGCCACGCCTTGGGCGCCATCGGCTTCGCGAGGGAAGAAAAGCGCCCCGGCGCGGATGAAGCCACGGCGCGTATTTGGCCACGCGCACGACCGAGGGAATTCAGTGCCAAGCGCCTTTCACTCCAGAAGGCCCGACGTCAACGAAACAAACTTGAGGCCCAAAGGGGGCCCCAAGGAGTCGGACCGCCAAAACAATCACGCAACCAACGCAACGAAAAAAACACGAAAATGTCAAACATCGCGTTACTCAGTGACCTCGTCGGCCAAGCAACACCGCGATAATGCCCAAGAAGGCATTGGAAAAAAGTCACGCGCGCGGCCAGGCGACTTCCCCGCGCCGCCCCAAGGTTCCCGAAGCGCGCCGAAATAACCGTAGAGAACACCCCGGAAAGTCTTTGGAACATCCCCGCGCCATGCAATATCCGCCACCGAACAATCTCGCGGACACCTAGCGCGTGCGCACGGGCGTCCACCATAGATGGCCAAATCCGGTTTCCGAGACAATCGCGCGCAACCGCCTGGGGGCCTCGGCAACCTCGCAATTGGCCCAGGGGCCCGCGGGCCCCAGGGAATCGAATACCGAGTTCGCAACTCCGGAAGCATCGGGCGCAGCGCCAGCCAGTCGCTCGTCTCTGGCTGACAGTAGGACGCCTGGAGACCCGGTAAAACCTAAAGAACCGCTTTTCAGAGATTCACAGAACCAGAAACCGGGGCGCGCCAAATTCTCGCGTCCGAACTTCTCTGAGAATCTCTGAAAATCTCTGAACTAGCCACCCCGCGTGAAACATTCCCATAAACCCAAAACCTCGGAGCTGGCCGAAACTCTCTGAGAGTTTTCGGCCCGCGAAATGTGGCGCGCCCGGATTTCTGGTTCCGAGATCCTCTGAAATCGCGCTGCGGCGGCGCCCAGCAGGTCCTCGCGCGCCCAGGGTGGGGGCCGTGGACATCGCGGGCCGCGATGGTCCCGACCGCGAAGTCCCTCCTCCTGCCCCTCGACGAGTCCACGCTCATGGACACGCTCTCTGCGCTGAGCGCGGACCGCGCCATCCGCCGGCACTTCTGCGCGACGACAGCCAACTGGCCGCCGACGGACCAAGCGATTTTTCCCCGAGCTGCGCGTGCCACCGAAAACGTACAATAGCCCCGGGCTCGGGGAGAAACACTTTCGAAGCATTTTCAGGCCGCCAGCGTCGTGGCTGCCGACACGCCGCGCGCCGACCGAGAGACTAGCTGGGTCCACTACGTCCACGGCGGCGGGCGGGCGCCCAAAAGAGCTGTCGCCACGGTGCGCGCGGCGGGGCGCCCGCCCAACTGCAACCGCAAATGCGGCCTCCATGGCGCCACAGGCGTATTATACGCGACGCATTCTCGGGCCCCCCATCAGCGCATTGGCCAGCGCCCAAGCCCCTGAAACGCAAACCTACTGCGCCCCTCGTGCAAGCCGCGCACCCGCTCACAATGCTCGTGCACACCAGATTTTCTACCCGCCCTCAACAGTTTAATTGAGCGCCCATGTGTTACTTGGGCTCCTCAAGCCCTCGAACATTCTTTGGGAACTTCTGCGACTGCGCGCGCTACGCTCCACAAGTCGGCGTTCTATTTGTCTCTGGAACTCTCCCAGAATCTCTGGTTCCGATTTGTCCCGATCTTCCGCTCAACTGAAGCGGCCCCCCACCGGGGCAGGCGGGGGGGGGGGAGGGGGCCCGGGCCCGGGCGAGCTCTCGCCTGAGCTCGCCGGGCCCGCCCTTGCAGAGAGATGCCTCCCCCCAGTAGGACGCCGGCAGGCCCGGCCTTCGTGGCGACAGAGCCGCGTTTGGTTACCAATTCAGTTTTGCCGTGTTTCAGCCAACTACGACGCCTTTTTTGTTGCCGGCTCCGTCGCCGTCTCTTTGTCCCGTCTCTGCTCATGTTCCAACAACGGAACCGTTTTTTTGCCGTCTGCGGTCGTCGTTTCTTGCCGCATCCGTTTTCGAAAGACACTTCCTCGGAAAGGGTGAAAGAACGGCCCTGCCCTTCCCGGGGCCCACTAAGGGCCCGGCAGGAGGGCGTGTTTCCCGTAGACTCACGCACGTCGGCTCGCATGGCATTCCCCCCCCTCTTCATCGCCTGTTCAACAGCCACGCTGGGCCGAAGAAGAGTGCGAGTGCGTCCGGGCTTGCGGGACGTTCGCATTCCCTGGCGGGCCTCGCCACGCTTTCCCTCCATACTCTCCCCTGTCGTGTTAATCCCACCCCCCACGGTTCCCACTCGCCACGCTCCCCCCACCAGGACATGGCCAAAATCTCAACATAGATATCCCCCTGCTGTCCTCATAATAGCATCTCACGGAATCTGTTGGTCGTCCCCATGGCGCCCAAGACCGCTTCCAGCATAGCGCGCCGAGCGGGCGCGATACACCTTCCTCGTGTGGGGCCACTGCGTGCTATTGGGAGCCAGCGCTAGTGCGCCGCAGGGGAAGGCGCGGCCCAACCAACCATGTGACCTCACCCTCGCCTTTCAAGCTTCCCTCGGGCCGCATAGTCGGGGATGGACAGACCCCCCTTTAGTAAAACGTGGTTTAGTGAAAACGACCTGAGGCCCAAACCTGGCGGGCGCAAGCCTGGAAAATAACGGCCACGGCGCCCTCTTGAGAGCCGAACGCGGACAGTTCACGAATCGACGTGTCACTGTTGGGGGTTCTGTCCACCCCCGACATAGGTACGTCTTCGGGAGGCGGGGGGGGCGTCACAGGAGGGGACGGTCCGCTGGGGGTCGATCGGGGCAGCCCCCGAGGGCAGGGCCGCGCCCGTGTACGGCGCATCGCGGGGAGCGGGCACGAGCGAAGGACCACCACTGCGGATCCGGTGGAAACTCATGGAAGGGAAACTGGGACACACAAATAAATACACACAAATAAAAAGATTCCCCATATTTTCTCATATTTTCTGGGTTTCTGTCTTCCCCCCCACTTCCCATATTTTCCCATATTTTCTGGGGAATCGAGGATTAATTGTGTCTGTGTGTTTCTTTTCCTCCTGAATATGGGAGCGCCTCCCAGACTGGCTCTTGCGAATCGACGCTGCCTGACGCTGATCGCCGATCGACGCCGGCCCAGGCCCATCGGGGCAAAGTCGATGCCGATCGACGCTATTATCGGCGCGTTGTCATATCGATCACCAGCCGCCGGCGCACGCGAAGGCGCTCCGAAGACGGAGTTACGAGGATGCACAGGACTCCCACGAACGGCTACCGAAGCATCACAGGGAGGAGCCACGAGCGAACCACCACCGCTGCGGACATCGGCCTGGGCCTCGCGGAGACCAGGCGGGTGAGACCAGGCGGGTGAGACCACGGACGGGCGCCCGGCCTCGCACGCAGAGGACCCCCCCGAAGGGGGTCCGAGTAGACGGGGTCGGGAGATCTCGCCATCGCTCGGACGTCCACTCCCCGTCCATGTTTTGGCTCCGTGCGCGTATTTGTCGCACGATGGCTTCGAATGTTCCTCGATGGCCCTTGCCGAGAAGAGACATGCACACGTCCGAGCGATACCAAGTCGGGGGATCGCGCCGCATCACGGTGAGCGACGAGCCGAAACTTGAGCAGGGACCGACCGGCCCGGCATTCCCACAGGCCTACCACGACATGTTCGTAGAACCCCAAAATGTTCTCAAACAGTAACAGTGTTCACAGACGATAGACCCAATGTGCTCAAACAGGGCATCCTCAGCCAGAAGCGTTCCAAAAACATGTCATGCAGACCACATAGGGTTCTTAGCAAATTCTTTGGCGGGCCTATAGGCAAGCCAGGACGCTTCGCCACTGCTCGAAACACAGCGACCTGACACGCCGCGGCGTACGCGGGCCGCCTGGACGTGGCGCACCGCGCGGCGCAGAGGGCGCTATAATTACGCGCGCCCCTGCGCGGGCGGCTTTCGCGCGAAGGTCGGCGCAGAGGGCCCCGTGTTGTCTCGTCGCTCAGGTGGGTGAGACCACTGCTGACAAGTGCCCAGCCTCTCTCGTGGCTTCGAGAGAAAAATAATTCTGGGGTAAATCAATTCTGCAGCCGATGCCCTCCATACTCGACCCTCACAGGGAGAGGACCCTGGGCAGAGTTGGCAGCTCCCCGGGCATGGTCTTCTCAAGCAGCTCTTTCTCCATTACGAGCACGCGCAGAAGGGCCTGCGCACAGGTGCGGAGCAGCTGCTGGAAGACGTCGGCCTCCTCGCTGCTGAAGTCGCCGACATCCTTGCGCTTCCCTGACTTCGCCTGGGAGGCCACTGAGGGGCGGCAAGGTTTAGGGGGGACTTGGCGGCGAGCGAAGGGGGGAAGTGAGAAGGAGAAGGCCTTCTCAGAAGGCGGCGGGGCTTCTCAGAAGCCCCCGCGCCTTCTGAGAAGTATGTTCTGCCTTCGGGGAAGGCTCAGAAAACTCCTCAGAAGGCCGGGGGGGACTTCCGAACCTCCTGAGAAGGCCTTCTCCTTCTCACGCCCCCCCTGGCTCGCCGCCGAGGGACGAACTCGGGGGGGGGGGGGGTCCACATCGACCTGGCGTCGGCGACGCATCGCCGCTGGACTGGACAGGCCTCCTCCACCGTGCCGCGGGGCACGGAGCGGGCGTGTGTGCTCGGGCCCCGGGCGCCCGGACCTCCCAGGCCTCGGCCCTCTACACCCTGCGAAATGCTTTAGAAATCATGGGTTAAGAAATTCATAGTCTCAGAACTTGGATAAAAATCCACCATCTCTATTCAAATCTTAGGATCTACATTGAAACATTAAAAATAATCGAGACTCTGGACGAAAATTTTGGTTTTCTTAAGCATCGCCTAAGGTGTAGCCTCCTCGGGCGTCGCTGAGAAGGGCCCGGGGCTCCAGAGCCACCAACCTCCCCGGGGCCTGCCGCGTGCCCCCCTTGGGGTTTCCCGCGCGCCCCCCGGGCCCCGGGAGATGTTGTCGCGTGAGATTCGTCGGGCCGCCCCAAGGCGGGCGAGCAAGAGGGCCCCACAGAGGCCCCCCAAGACGGTTCAAGAGGGCCCCGAGTCGACCAGAAATCGTTCCAAGACGCTCGAGATGGCCCCCAGACGGCCCAAGAGGCCTCCAATACGCCCACCAAAATGGCCGCCAAGATACCGCTTGGCCAACATCATTGATTTCCGTAGGTTTTCGAAGGATTTTGGCGTTCTCTCCTTTTCGGCTTCCCGACGGTCCCAGACGGCCCTAAAGTTCACAAAGACCGCCAAAAGACGGTCCAAGAGGCCTCCGAGAAAGCCCCAAAACGGCCCAAGAGGGCCCTCCAGGCGGCCCAAGAGTTGCCCCAATCGGCCCAAGAGAGGGAACACGAACCGAAAATCCGTGCCTTCCGCCCCAAGAGGACCGCAGGAGGCCCCAAGAGGCGCCCAGGAGGCCCCAAGAGGCGCCCAGGAGGCCCTAAGAGGCTCCAAGAGGCTCCAAGAGGCTCCCACGAGGCACAAACGTGGGCCCAATAGGCTCCCAGACGGCCCCCGAGAGGCCTCCAAACTGCCTCCAATAGGCCTCTGGGAAACCTCCCACGAGATCCCAACGAACATCCAATAGGCATCATGTCCACAACCCGTGCGCGGTGGCGGGTTGGGCCGAAGGTCATTCGATCCGCCGCCCCCTGTCGATTCATCGCAGGGGTGCCTGGCGTGCTGGACCCTTCGGTTTTAATTTTAGTTCTTTTCCATAAGAACTCCCTCTGGGGCTTCGGCCCGTCCCGCCGGCCACCCAGCAAGGACCTCAAGGAGCACAATTCCCGAATGGTTCGCTCAAGATGGTCCAAGATGGCCTCCACGATAGCCACGTTGGCCCAAGATGGCCTCCAAGATGGTCCGAGACGGCCTCCAAGTCTAAGGTCACCCGAGAAGCCTCAAAGATGGCCCAAGACGACCCCAGAGGCCTTCAAGAGGTCCTCCAGGAGGGCTCGAAGAGGCCAGAATCATTGGTTGTTCCTGGGTTTTTGAAGGATTTGGTAGTTGCTTCTTCTCGGCATTCCGACGGTTCAAGACGGCCCAAGAGGCCCCCAAGATCGCCCACGAGGCCTCCAAAATGGCCCCATGACGGCCCAAGAGGCCCCCAATACGCCCCCAAGAGGGCCCCAAGACGAGCCAAGAGGCCTCCAAGACGCCCAAGATGGCCTCCAAGACGGCCCTGGAGCATTCCAGGAAGGCCCCAAGTCGGCCCAGAGAGGCCCACCAAACGGCTTCCGACGGCATCAGACGGGCCAGGAGCCCACCACGACTGTCGAAGATGGATGGCCCTAAGATGGCCCAAGACGGCCCAAGAGGCCTCAAAGAGGGCCTCCAGGAAAGCCAGAAAAGGCCAATGGATTTCCCACGAGTGTTTGAAGGATTGTGGCATTTGCGTTGTTCGGCCTTCCGACTGCCCGAGACGGCCCAAGAGCCCCCAAAGATCGCCCACGAAGTCTCCAGTATGGCCCCAGAACGGCCCAAGAGGTCCCCAAAGCGGCCCCAAGAGGCCCCCAAGACGGCCCCAAGAGGCCCCCAAGACTGCCCAAGAGGCATCCAAGACGCTCAAGATGGCCTCAAAGACGGCCCTGGAGCACCCCAAGAAAGGCCCAAGTCGGCCCAGCCTCGTCCACCGTGTTCCCCGAACACTTTCCAAGCCGATTCGGGGAACACATGGTCCGATAGCTTGGCAGGCCTCTGGCCACAACGTTCGGCCACATAGGCGTTTCCAAACATGCAAGGGGCGGCGGTGATTCGCCGTAGGCGTCTTCGATAGGCCTCCGATAACCGCACGTTCCTGGGCGGGTCGGATTATCAGGCCCCCAGCGGCGATGAACGGGCAACATGGGGTGGGTCGACGCATCTCCCCCTGCGCAAATACTAGAGGAACAAAGAATGCGCGAATGCGGGGCATAAACACATCAGGAGTGCTACAACGGGAGCGATGACGTAACATGGGCGCATGTGATTTTGCGAGCAGCAATCGGAAGGCTCGCAGGCCCCCGATCAATATCTAAGGGCTACGTAATAACAAATCACCCCCGTTGGCTGTGCCATGCGCCCGTTGCACCCAATGTATCACACCGCAGCTCTTGAGAGCCCCCGCGGGATACGTGTAGGCGCAACGTTATGGCCATCGCCCGGCAGATGGTCTGTTTCACAAATCACACCCATTGGCTGTGCCATGCGTCCGTTGAGCCTAACGTATCCAACAGCAACTCCCCAGAGCCCCCCCAAGGACGGCGAGGTCCCGCTCAGATCCCCGCGGTGCCTCACACCGCAGGACCCGCCAGCAGCCCTCGAAAGTGGCGACAGAGTCGCAGATCGCAGCCCCCCAGGGACGGCGAGGTCCCGCTCAGATCCCCACGGTGCCTCACTCCGCAGGACCCACCAGCTGCCCTCGAAAGTGGCGACAATGTCGCAGATCGCAGCCCCCCAGGGACGGCGAGCGCCCGCTCAGATCCCCGCGGTGCCTCACTCCGCAGGACCCACCAGCAGTCCTCGAAAGTGGCGACAGTGTCGCAGATCGCAGCCCCCCAGGGACGGCGAGGTCCCGCTCAGATCCCCGCGGTGCCTCACTGTCGCAGATCGCAGCCCCCCAGGGACGGCGAGGTCCCGCTCAGATCCCCGCGGTGCCTCACTCCGCAGGACCCACCAGCAGCCCTCGAAAGTGAGGACACTGTCGCAGATCGCAGCCCCCCAGGGACGGCGAGGTCCCGCTCAGATCCCCGCGGTGCCTCACTCCGCAGGACCCACCAGCAGCCCTCGAAAGTGGCGACAATGTCGCAGATCGCAGCCCCCCAGGGACGGCGAGGTCCCGCTCAGATCCCCGCGGTGCCTCACTCCGCAGGACCCACCAGCAGCCCTCGAAAGTGGCGACAGTGTCGCAGATCGCAGCCCCCCAGGGATGGCCAGGTTCGCGCAAGGCAAGAGGAGACAAGAGGGGAGCGGGAGACGGGAGGCGGGAGGAGAAGGAGGAGGAGAACTGGAGACCGCAGCGCCGCAGTGCTCTGTCCAAAACGAATACCCAACCAAAGAAGGTTGGGATGTTTGACGGTCCGCGCGGATCTCTCGGATCCGCGCCGGACCCCCCTCCCTGACGCGCGGAGCGCGCCAGGGGCGGTGCCAGAGACGCTGCCGGGGGGGCCCAGTGCGGATCCAAGAGAGCCACGCAGGGCGCCGAACATTTATGTTTATGCCGCTGTTTCTTCTTCGGGATACCCCCCCTACCGTTGCCCGGGCGCCTCGCGGCTCAGGAGGTTCTGCGCTCTGCGGTCCATGATCTGCACGACACCTCTCGGAGGACAGGACGTGCCGACATACCTAAGGGCTCCCAACTTCGCGCTTCGCGCTCCGCGAAGCGCGAAGCGCGAATAACTTCGCGCTCTCGCGCCGCCCCCCCCAAAGGGAGAAAAGGAGGACGAGGAGGAGGGGGAGGAGGAACGAGGACCGCAAAGCGCGAAGCGCGAATAACTTCGCGCCCTCCTGGGAGCCCTTGACGCTCCCCCGACCATATCGGAAGGACGCACGATAAGGACGCACGGGCCTTCGAAGGCCACGCCGACCCCTTGCGAGCGGGCCGCGGCCGGCGAAAGTGGCCAAGGATGGGCCGAGGAGGCAGGGCTGCAGAGGGTACCCTTGGGAAGGCCGCCCGTCCTGACCATGCTCGGGCCGGGCGAAAGTGGGGGACAGCAAAAGGGGGTTTGAGAATCGGCTCACATAGCTGATTTCCCCGGCGCCTCCTGGCGCCGGAGGCGGCCATGTATCGAGGAATGGGCCCCTCGGTGGGGCTGAAATGAGCTGCATGCAGCAAATTTCATAACCCCCCCTTTCCCTCTTTTTTTCTCGCGAACACAACGACAGCAACGGACACGCACAGCTAAAGCCTCGGGCCCCGGCCGGATTGCACCGGTGCGATCTCGGGGACCTCACACACCTGCACGCGCTGGCTGTGCCCACGCACGCGCCTAGCACGCCAGCTTTCCCTATCCCTATCCCCCCCATTCCCTATCCCCCCCTTTCGTCCGGCCCGACATGCGGGTGGACTGTAGCGTGACCGCCAACCCCCCGCGCCCCCCCCGCACACCGAGGAACTGCGGGCCACCCGCTCTGCTCTGGTCGGAGTCCGTCACGAGCGGCCCACAGAGCATGGACCCCTGCGAGTTGATCGTCCTGCCGACCCGGTGGAGTCCATCGGCGCCTGGCTCGAGGTACTGATGCCTCAGGGCGCGGCCCAGCCGACCTCTGACAAGCCGTCCCCTTTCGTGACGTCACCCTCGCCCTTCGAGGCCCTTTGGGGCGAGGCGAGGAGGGCGTCACGGAAGGGGAGGGTGTGCCAGGGGTCGCTGAGGCCGCCCCTGATGCCTGGCCATGACGGCGACATGCTGGAACTGGCGCGTTCTCGCGCAGTGGCCGACGATCCTTTGCGGCTCGCCCACGGGAGGGAGAGGCGACACCGGCGGGAGGCGGCCTGAAAAGAATGCGATAAAGGGCCCCTCGGGAGGCAGGACAGAAGAGGGTGGGCTTCTTGAAAGGGCGCCCCGGCACTCACCCAAACATCTGGCGGATCTATGTTTTTGTTGATGCGCGGGCCCAGAAAACTGAACCGCTTCCCTCGGGCATGTTTCTCGTCCTGAGTCGTGTATTGGCGGCCCCGAGAGCCGGCGAGGTCCCTCATGGAAGCCGAACACGGCCAAAAAGCCGCCGCTCAAACTTTGACTGGAGCGTCGGATATGTGGAAATACTCCCATTACTCCTACTACTACCACTACCACTACTACTACTACTACTACTACTAACTACGATTACTACTACTACTACTACTACCTCCTGCTACTACTACTACTGACTACTACTACTACTACTACTACTACTACTACGACTAGTAGACTACTACTAATACTACTACTACCCTACTACCTTACTACTACTACGACGAACTACTACTACTTCTACTACCACGATACTACTGCTCTGCTACTACATACTTTTTTTGTTTTTTTTAAAAAATCTACTACTACTTCTACTACTACTACTACTACTACTACTACTACTGCGACTGCTACTGCTACTGCTGCTGCTACTACTACTACTACTACTTCTACTACTGCTACTGCTACCGCTACTGCTACTACTACTGCCACTACTACTCCTACTACCACTACTACTACGACGACTACTACTACTACTACTGCTGCTGCTGCTACTACTACTACCAGAGCTACTACGAGTACTAGTACGAGTAGTATTACTAGAACTTCTACTACTACTGCTACTACTACCACTACTACTACTACTACTACTACTTCTTCTTCTACTTTTACTACTGCTACTGCTACTGCTACTGCTACTACTACTACTCCCACTACTACTCCTACTACTACTACTACTACGGCGACTACGACTACGACTACGACTACGACTTCTTCTACTACTACTACTACTACTACTACTACTACTACTACTTCTACTACTACTACGGCGACTACTACTACTACTACTACTACTACTACTACTACTACTACTACTACTACTACGACCACAACGACTTCTACGACTACTACGCCTACTACTGCTACTACTACTACTACTACTACTACTACTGCTGCTGCTTCTGCTGCTACTACTACTACTACTACTAGAACTACTACGAGTTCTAGTACTAGTAGTATTACGAGTACCTC